TTTAAGCTACCAACGCTAATAACACTATGCAACATCATTTTTAAAACAGAAATGAGATAGGATGTTTCCAGTAGTAGTAGTAGTAGTAGTAGTAGTAGTAGTAGTAGTAGTAGTAGTAGTAGTAGTAGTAGTAGTAGTAGTAGTAGTAGTAGTAGTAGTAGTAGTAGTAGTAGTAGTAGTAGTAGTAGTAGTAGTAGTAGTAGTAGTAGTAGTAGTAGTAGTAAGATAACGAATATGCAAACGAAATGTTTCTAACACGTCAGGTTTTTGTTTAATTTCAACCTTCCAATACAGCTAAGCAGTGTGTTTCATGCATCTTACGCTCGCCTGTATTTGGTCCATTGGCTTCCTGTTATCGTGGAAACGAAGTCCTCTTGGCCATTGTATCCTCCTGATGCTGAAAGTCCATTGACAGCTGCTTCCTCAATTGATCTCGTGATCATGACTGAAGACGCTGCTGTGTCAGTGACCGAAACCATTATTGCCACCTCTGCGGACAGTTTACTACAACTCGCAGTGCGGACTACTGGAGTCGGCCCTCCACGCATATTTTGGGAAGAAAATGGGAGATCAGTATAAGAACTGGGTGCCACATACTCTTTATGTATGGTGCAATCTTCATCTGATTCAGTTGCTTAATGGCAAAGGCAAGATGCCCTTTATGATCCTCACGGTGTGAAGGGACCCGAAAGATCACGCGACAGACTGCCAGTTCTGCCTAGCCAGTGTCATTGTAATATTCAACCGAAACAAGGACACAATCAAATCTATACCCAACCGTGCGTCTGTTACATGCTACCAATATGAAGGAGACTCATGAAACTATGCGCGAGATACTCACTGCACTACGATAATTAGTGTCGGAACATCTGTGCTGACTTCAAAGTCATTGGACTCCCAATGGGTATGCATAGAGGCTTCACAAATTATTGCTATTTCTTGGGCTTATGGGACAATGGAGCAACTCAATAGCACTACAGAAGAGAAAAGTGGTCAGAGAGGACGGAGTAGGCTGCAGGGAACATGAGTGTAAATCACAGACCTCTTGTGCAACCTGATCCTATCTGTCTATCACCCCAGCACATAAAGCATGGTTTGATTAAATCTTCATCAAAGCACCCAGTTAGATGGTCTTGCGTTTCAGTAGCTGAAACAAATTTTTTCGGAGTTCAGTGATGCGAGGCTCTAAGAAGAGAAACTTATTGGTCCTGGTATTCGCCGGATAATGGTAGATAGTGCTTTCGAATGCCAGTTGATTTTATTTGAGTTAGAAGTGTGGCGATCATTTAAGACAGTGTGTGCCGAATTTTTGGACAGAACAAAGGCAGAGAACTATAAAGACATCATGGCAAAGTTCATTGCGGACTATCGGGCTGTTGGTGCTCGAATATAACGCAAAGTGCACTTTTGCATAATTTAACGTAACTTTTTCCCTGAGAACTTGGGATCTGTTAACGATGAGCATGATGAGCGTTTTCACCAAGACATTTCAGTCGTGGAAGGGCACTGCAGTGGCAAGTACACGCCTTCTATGATGGGTGACTTCCGCTGGTTTCCTCAGCTTGAGAGCAGTGGATCATACCAAAAACGATCTCGGCGCAGTCATCATTTCCCAGTACTAAGCTGCATTCAGTAGTTAGGGGCGAGTGTTGTAGTGACCTTTTAAAGCGTATTAGCCAAATAGATGCATTCTGTATATGTTGCGCCTCAGTACAATTATATACCATTCATAAAAAGTCGGCTTGACGTTAACGACAATAATTATTTGATTATAACAATTTAACCGGACGTGCTAGGTAACTTCGGAATACATTTCTACGGTCAGTGGCGTGTATTCCATAAGGTAGTGACATTGACATTTTCGTTATAGAAAATAAACGTATTTTGTTACACAGTGTAATTAGACCCATGCAAGGCGCATCACCATTGTTTCCCTGGCGATAAAAAAGTGCTTTACTCAAAAATCCAGACGTTACGGACTAGCTGGCTTGACTGTCCACACTATATACACAGAAAAGTAGCCCTGAAA